TACATACATTGTAGACTAACCGTGTATATATACAAACAACAAGTTAGCTACTAACACACCTACTTAACAAACTAAACCTTCCACTAACTTAGCTTAGCTGAGATTCAGCTATACATTCCACTAACTATACACCTAATATTTCAACAAAAAACACGTGCGATCTTGTAGAGACATTTTTTCTATTCCAATTGCAACTGACATATGGGATCATTTCCTCAAAAGCACGGTCATTGATTGAGATTGAGAGTTGAGAAAAAAAATTAAGATTGAGAGATCCTTTTTCTTTTGGGTCCATCACAAGTATTTCTTTATTTATATGGCTTTTTTTCGTAGGAGATTCATAAAATATAACATAAGAAAAAATAAATAAATAAAACATATGAGATTTTTGTATAATTATTTATTCTAATCAAATTGTTATATATCATTGTAGACAATAAATTGGGTCGAGAAAATTAAAATCAAGACCGAAAAATATCGCAACAATCGTAGTATTTTATTTCGAATATTTGAGTGTTACAATCTCTATGATTCCTCTGATTCTACTTTTCTAGTATAAATAAATTCAAGGGCCTTTGAGCTTGATCTTGAATTTGAATTTGATTTATCCGTCACGAACACTTTGATTGTTGCCACGAATTTTATCACGAACAAGTAGCCTTGATCTTGAACGCCTTGTATTTGATTTGACTTCGTTCTTGATCTTCAATACTTGAATTGTTCTTCGTTCTTGAGCTTGAATACTTGATCTGTTCTTCGTTCTTGAGCTTGAACTTGAACTTGATTGCTTGAAGCTTGAAACTTGTGGAGGAATTTGCAGCGTTTGATCCACGAGCTCTTTCTTGCTTCTTGTTATAACTTCTGGTGTCTTTTCTGAGTTATGAAGACCACTATTTATAGTTGTGGAAGGGAAGAGTTGTGATAAGAACAAACTCTTTCCGACCAATCAAATTGAAGTGTGACATGCTCGCATTTGATTGGCCAGAACATGTCACTTGCACACGTGGCGCGATTTCTTTGGCCTTTTAGTGTGACTTGGCATGCCTTGTCATTTTGACACGTGGCATGATCCTATTGGCTCTTCCGTTTGACTTGGCGTGCCACGTTATTTGACAAGTGGCACCAAACTGGGCCTCTAGGAAGATGTCATCTTGGGCTTAATGAAGTGGGCTCATCACTTTAGCCCAATTAAATGGACTAGCCCATTGGATTAAGACTTATTTATTTAATCCATATATGTTGGACATATATAATTAATTCATTTATATATTAGCCCACAATATTTATTTGGACCAATATATTTAAAATATAGTCCATATTATTTATTGAATTTAAATTCAATAAATTTTACATGCCTACGGACATTTTCTCGATTAGAATTTAATACTAGTGCCTTTCATGTCATATAACCTTCACTATACAAAGTCATATGACTCTTTTATCTCAATCTTTTCCAATAATTTACGAGGAAAAGAAAAACGAAATTCAATAGCAAACCCATATTGTAATGATAAAGAAAATATTTATCTATAAGTGCAAAGGGAAAAAAAATATTTAAATTGACATGTAAATGGAGCACCTTTTCTTTTTAACGATAAAGAAAATTTAATTTCCAATGGTGTTAGCTTGATAGCTCCTGCTATATGAAAGCACCGAAAGTTATTATAGGAGTGTTTTTGCTATTTTAACACTTTCCTTCTTTTATTAAGCATCTTCTTTCATCCCAGATATTAACAGTATCTTTTTGGATTTTATTATTATTATTATTATTATTATTATTATTATTATTATTATTATTATTATTATTTTTAAAAAAATTCTTAATAATTATTGCAAAAACTCTAAGATCCATCGTGAATTAAAGCAAAACTATAATGAGGGGCATTTGCATCTATACCCGCTTTTTGTGCCACATTTTAACTTGTGCTCGCTTTGCAAAAAAAATTGCAAGCGTACCCGCTTTTTCACATAACTTCAGCACACGGGGCTGAAGTAGCAAAGGCAATCACGCAAAACTTCAGCATTCTAGTAGCCGGGTCTGAAGTTCAGCTCTAGAGCTGAAGTTTTTGTGTTGTAACTGGGAAACTTCAGCTTTAGAGCTGAAGTTTTTGTGTTGTAACTGGGAAACTTCAGCTCTTCAGCTGAAGTTTTTGTCTTTGTAACTGGAAACTTCAGCTCTAGAGCTGAAGTTTTTGTCTTTGTAACTGGAAACTTCAGCTCTAGAGCTGAAGTTTTTGTTCTATATTTGATTAACTTCAGCATGTTTATGATGTCTGATCCAATCGTACTAAATAGTAAAAAGAGTTGAATCTAAGAGTAAGCAGACCTATTTATGTAGGCAAACCGAATACAACAGCTTGCCCGACGCAATCTTTGCTGCTAAAGCACTAAATGTGCTGCGTTTGGATGGATTTAATATTGAATTGCCTTCTGATGGTATAAAGTTTTCATCTTCGCGATACGAGTCCAAGTTAATATGACACCTGTGTTTGTGTCAATTTTATATGAACTTCAGATATTACTTAATTCTGGTAAGTTTCTGAAATGGTTATACTATGCTAAATTGCTAGTAACAAAAATTGAAACCACCGTAGTAGCGTAAACGTTTTGGTCCCAGACAAATCACCTAGTAATTATTTTCACATAATTTACTGCGTGTAATGAAACAAATACAGAAATAGAGGTTTTTGTCATCCCATGATCTGAAGTTCCATAGCAGCACCAACAGCAGCAGAAGAAAGAAGAAGAAGAAGAAAACGAAGGAGGAGAAGGAGGAGGAGAAAGGGGGCTGAAATTATTTAAAAAGTGGGTACAAATTAAAAGTTTTTTAAAAATGGGTATAGGTTAAATGGGGGCGACCAAATAGGGCGCCCCGTGCAATTTTTACCTATAATGAAGAGCAATTTTATACAACCTAATTTGATCCCAAATACGAACTATTTTGACACATTGAGTTTGTTCCAAAATATTAGACATTTTAGAAATCAAGATGCATTTTTATCACTTTTTCTTTTTCAAATTCACCATTATTGCTTTAATGAGGTAAAAATTAATTTAGACAAATATTTCTATTATGAAAGACTATGAAATACTTCTGTAAGAAGTGTTCAAAATATTAAAAAGAGGGAATAATCTCCTATACTTAGTTATAATTTTTTTTTGGTAACTAAACATTTTATTTAAGTATAATATGTACAGCTCAAAGTAAAAAAATACAAACTGTAGACTTAGACACACAGCCCCAAGACAGCAACCTATACTATATCTCCTACACACTAAAACACCTATTACCCACTACTAAGGATAAAAACTCAGGTTTCCAACCTCCTATTCAATCTAGGAAATCTCGCGCCTCTACAATGAACATCTCGAATAACTTGCCTTTCCAGCATCTCAGCAATTCGCCACTTGTGCTGGAACAATCTCATATTCCTCTCACGCCATAGACAATATAAACAGCAAGCCAACGTCAGTCTATATAGAGTTGCATCGGTAGATTTCCCCTGCGCATACCTCACAGCCCAACCAAGTTCCTCCTGCCACCCCATAGACTTTCTAGCAATCACTTGCCACACCAATATCCTATCCCAGATGGTAGCAGAGTAATGGCAATGAAAAAAATAGGTGATCAATAGATTCATCTTCATTATTGCACAAAGGACATTTCAAGTCGTCAACATGCCTCTACTTTGCGACCCTATCTTTGGTGAGTAGCCTTCTATGTAGGGGTGTCAATGGTTCGGTTCGGCTGGTTATTTTATAAAATTTGTACCATACCAATTCTTCGGTTATTCTATTATGCATAACCAAAATTAGACTTTTCGAAACCGTCCCAATCATGTCGGTATCACTTCGGTATGGGTACGGTTCGGTTAATTTTCAGTATTTTTTTAAATGTCATGTAAAATTTGCCAGTAAAAGTAGAATGCAATAACATGTGTTCTTTTACAGGACTTAGCAAAACTCTCTAGACATTTTTACTGTTTAAAAGGTGATGAATTAGAAAACATGAAATATGGCTAGAGTATAGATACATCAACTATTCGACAACAACTTAAAAGAAACCAAGTAACAGCAAAGAAAATATAAACCACACGAGTTGAAAGATATTAACCAAGCTAGGACTCAAGAATAAATTCTATATTAAATATTCAAAAAGATAAAATCTAAATTATATGAAAGAAAACATATCCAATGCATTATAGTTTGCTACTCATAATCGCCAGAATACTTTGTGTCTTGCTAATAAAGATACTTGAAGTGACTTAGTTTAAGTATAAGTAGGATAATAGGTTTTAGGAATTAGTATTTTGAGTTTAATTACTTGTTGTCTTGTAACAGTTTTCTTAATTCCAAGGCACAATGAAAAATTTATTGTTTCATTAGTTTTAAGCTTACTATATAAATATATTTTTCACATGTAAAATTTTTTTGGTATGGTTCGGTATTTTTTCGGTATATTTTTATAAAATAAAAAAACCTACCCTAATTATTGGTACGGTTATATATTTATATAAAAACCAACGGTTTCTTTAAAAGAAACCTAAAATTCGGTTCGGTGCGATACGGTTCGATCGATTTAGTCGGTTTTCAAATATCCATTGACACCCCTACTTCTATGGACACTAATGTAAAGAATGAACACCCACCTTGGTGACCCAGGATTGTTGCAAATTAGTCTCTTCCAATCGACTCTTTGGAAGTCCCACCTGATCTTGAAGTACACTTCTTTTGTGGAGAAACTAGTCATTTGAGTTACCAGATCTTTAGTATATCCAGCTTGCTCAAATACTCAATTACTCACTTATAATTTGAATTAAAAAAATAACCTTTCAAAGTTTTCACTTGGTCTATTTATTAGTACCTTATATTATTTTCTATTAATCCCTTATTAAAATAATATAACTAAAATAATATTTGTAATAAGAAAAACAAAAGATAGTATAGCAAAAGCCCTAAATAAAAACCTCCCAGTTTCCAATATGAAAGCGACTACTATATAAACGCCATTTTCTTCAAACTTGGACTCTAGCCACCCTACCCTCTCACTCTCTTCCTATACTAAAAGGTCACCAAAACACAAAAACAACACAATGGTAACCGAAACAATGGAATCAATAATCCTCCAGCTCCACGATATCTCCGCCGTCAAATTCGGCGAATTCAAGCTGAAATCCGGCATCTCTTCCCCAATCTACATCGACCTCCGTTTAATCGTCTCTTACCCTTCGATTCTCCGTCAGATTTCCCAAACGCTCGTCGGTTCCCTCCCGTCTTCCACAAAATACGACGTCGTGTGCGGCGTGCCTTACACGGCTCTCCCTATTGCCACGTGTATCTCCACTGCTCATGACGTGCCTATGCTCATGCGCCGTAAGGAGGTTAAGGATTACGGTACTGCAAAGGCGATTGAAGGCGCTTTTAAGCCAGGTCAAGCTTGTCTTATTGTTGAGGATTTGGTTACTAGTGGTGCTTCGGTACTTGAGACTGCTGCGCCTCTTCGTGCCGCTGGGTTAACCGTTACCGATGCTGTCGTCATGATTGATAGGTCGGTACAATTTCTTTCTTTTACTCGTACAAAGACTTTTCCTGAAGTACTACTACACTTTACCTTTTAAAGATTTTTTTTTTCTGCAAGTACTATTGAAAGTAGCACAACTCTCGTTTTCTAAAGTTAAGATGTACTTTCTCAGTTTCAATTTGTATTCAATTTAGGTGAAATAGTTTGATTTGGGATGGAGTTTAAGAAAGAAAAGAAGAAAAAAAAACTTTTGAAACTTGTAACCTTAAAAGCTTAACCGGCGGGGTAATTGTATTTGTGTGACTATAAAAGAATAAAATGAGTACTAGGCACGTATTTTAAGAAAAAAACTTCGGAACAGACATATGTGTGACTATAAATATATTGTAAAATAAAAAGTTTAAAGTTAAATTGTTTTTAGATATAAAAAGATTTTTACTTTTATTTTGGGATAGACTAAAAAGGAAATAGTGTCACATTAAAATTAAATGGTTGCAACAGTTTTTTTTTCCAAAATAGTTTTTGCAAGAAGAATGTGATAGTAAGTGCAGCTGTGTAGGGTATAGTGCATTTAAAACTAGCGGAAAGTTTGTAGAAGTTGGAGTTCAGAGCTAAGCATATGCATAATCAGCACAAGTGGAGAAAAATGGTGGCATATAATTGTTGTAATCTACTGGTTGTACCTTTTTTTTTTTTTTTTAAAGTGAGAAGATTGTTTAGTGCCTTATTTTTTACATTTGGTGTTAGTGAGTCTTTTGGGAAATTCCAATTAGAATGGATTTGTGATTTATTTGTGAATATTGAGCTATTATCTTTTCCTGAGGTGAGTTGTTTGGTGATTGTTTCTGGGCAGAGAGCAAGGAGGAAGGGAAAATTTGGCTGAGAATGGAATCACATTGCATTCAATGGTAAAACTGACTGAGATGGTGAAGATACTAAAGGAAAAGGGTAGAGTTTCAGAGGAAACAGAAAAAATGGTGAAGAAATTCTTAGAGGAGAACCGCAAAGTTGCGGTTCCAGTGCCAGTGAAGGAAACTAAGGTCAGTCTCAGATTACCGTATCAGGAGAGGGCAAAGATTGCGAAAAATCCGACAGGGAAGAAGTTGTTTGAAATTATGGTGCAAAAGGAGACTAACTTGTGCCTTTCTGCTGATGTGGCCACAGCTGCGGAATTGCTAGATATTGCTGACAAGGTGATCAAATTACCTTTTTTTCTTCTTTTTTGTAATCTTTCTTGAATAAGGTATTGTTTCCTCGGAACTGATGTAAGGCTGTAAGCAACCTTAAGCAATTGTGCATTTATAACAAGCTCTGCAAACAAGGAACACGGCTAGTTAGATATGAAATCACCATTCCTCTGCTGTTCTTTCTTGTTAAATTTGAATTTTGTGTCAATCAGGATTTGTAGAGACTTTATTACCCTGTCTTTGGGTGTCGAATGAACTGAGAAAATGGAACCTTTTAGGTTTACAAAGGTATCAAAGTGTAATGACTAGCTGCTGCATTTAGCATATGAATTGTCCTAAACCTCCTTTGTTTTGGTGTGACAGAAGGAAAGTAGGCGGCATTTCCTGTTTTCCTATTTAATCTTTGTCCGATGATTTATGTTAGTGCGTTTAATGTGTAATATTTTGACAAGTTTATTCCGAATCTTCCTGTGCAGGTCGGACCTGAAATCTGCATGTTAAAAACACATGTTGATATATTGCCTGATTTCACTCCTGACTTCGGTTCTAAACTTAGATCGGTAAGTTACTCTTTGACATGATTGGTGGATGATGATGTCGTTATTGCTCCAGTTTTTCTCTAGTGCAGAAACTTAAAGACCATGTTAACATATTTCTGGGTTCCTTTATTCCTTCATTATGTGCATGAGCTATTGAATAAGATATATGAGCTAGCTGGCGGCACGATCGCAAATCTAGTCTAAAAGGTTCAGTCACTGCATCAACTTATTTTAAAGAAAAGAAAGTTCAATCACTGCATCCAAGGAGTTGCCATATGTTTAGGTATTTATCTGGAAAATGACTTCGTTTCCTGGGCTGATAGCTGGAGCAGAGTACTAAATTTTTGGTCATAATAACAGGATACTATGTGATAGAAGTGCTTGTTGGCTTAAATAATGCATGCCAATGTTAGGTTGACATGGACACTCTCTGCAAGTTGAATGGAAAAATGATATTGAACAGGGTTAAAAATAATTCTTGTTTTTGCCAATAGATAGATATTAAAGTGTATGTTGAGTGCTTACTCTTGTTTCTTTTCTTCTGTAGATTGCAGACAAACATAACTTTTTAATATTTGAAGATCGTAAGTTTGCTGACATTGGAAATACAGTGACGATGCAATATGAAGGGTGAGGAAATGTCAGATTACTATTTCTTATCATATTCTTTTTTTACTTAAGTTAATCTCCCTAAGTTGTCTTGTTTGTCTGCAGAGGTATCTTTCGCATTTTAGATTGGGCTGATATAACTAATGCCCACATTATTTCTGGTCCCGGAATTGTGGATGGTCTGAAACTGAAGGTTTGTTTGGTGTTACTGATACCTAAGCTACTGAGCTACAGAAAATTCTATTTAGATCTGATTCAACTATTTTGTACTTAGGGCTTGTCACGTGGTAGGGGACTGTTGCTTCTTGCTGAAATGAGTTCTTCGGGTAACCTAGCCACGGGAGCTTACACGGCAGCAGCAGTAAAAATTGCTGAGGATCACTCAGATTTTGTCATTGGATTCATCTCTGTGAATCCTGCTTCTTGGCCTAATGGACCAGGAAACTCATCCCTCATCCATGCTACGCCTGGTGTTCAGTTGGTCAAAGGTGGAGATGCTCTAGGCCAACAATATAACACTCCATCTGCAGTAAGTCCCGGTTGCTACCATAAAATGTTCATGTTCCAGTCCTGTCTTAGTTTTCATTTCTTAAAAGATGCACTATACTCCTTGCTTCTCCTTTATTGCCTACATTGAAGTTGCTGGTTCATTAAGGAATGATTCTGTAAGTTGACCGGAAGAGTTTGTCCATTCCTTTTCAGACGATTGGCTGTCTCCTTTCTTGATAAATGATGAATTTTTAGCAGCTGCTTCTTTTGAACTCCTCTTCATCCTGGAAAGCCAAAAGAGCTCCCTAACTTTTCGCTTCTTTATCTTCGTTGCAACTTCTCAAACTCTTGTTAGTTACAGAACCAATCAACCACCTCACTTTCTTCTTTTTTGTAGTTTGATCCCCTTGACTGCGAGCTCCATTGTTCAATGACATATCATTTGGTATCATGTCCCTGTGGCATTTCGAGTTCAACACATAATTTATTGACAGCTGACACCATGAACCAAACTTTTTTTGTTAGTAACTGCATATAATAGAGAAAGCAAGTAAACAATTCCTACAATGTTAAGAAACTAGGGAAGGGCCAATTAAGTAAACGGTTGAGAGCCCCAATTCCATCAGAGACTTGAGAGGAGGCAACAGCGCCCGTTATTGGTAGCTAGGATATTCGCCGCGCTTCCAGTAATTGATAGGAACCCATCAAGGTGAACTGATGAGCCTCGGTCAATGGTTGAAATTTCTCAACATTCTTTAGGTGTTTGAAAACCCTTCCTTTTGTATCCCTTAGCCTCAATCATAACTATCAGAACAGCTGTGCATGCGTGGGACAAGCTTTCGCTTGTACTCTTGGTATCTGACGCAGTTATCAGTCATTGTTTGTTAATCCCCGGGGGGGGGGGGGGGGATTGATGACCTATTCTTAGTAAGTTCTTAGAGGGCTCTACTGAGTATTATATTTGACTCTACCTGGCACTATTCTCTAAACTCTACCGCCTATATAAACAAAATACTCAGTTGTATTGTACATATCTACGTTAGCATCTATATATGTATGGGTAACTCTATCATTGTTTCACACGGAATTAATTGCATGTATGATTCATGTGTTTGTGAAACATGTAACAAGTAATACTCCCTCCGTCTCATTTTATGTGGCACACTCCTTGGTCTGTACCAAAAGAATGACACCTATATTTAAAAATAATTTAACTCTAAATTTCCCATTTTACCCTTAATGAGATTATTTCTAGCCAAACGAATGTCTATGGCTTGTTTTAGACCACAAATTTGAAGAGTTTTTCTTTCTTTCTTAAACTCTGTTCCCATTCAAACATTGTCGCATAAAATGGATGGAGGGAGTAACAAGCTATGAGAGAGACTCCCACTTAAGGAGAGTATAGATAAACCTATTGAGCGTCTATACATTTTGACCCTTGCTTGGTAACAATCGTGGCTCAACTACAGTGACAGCCTATTGTAGTTGTACCTCTACTCAACACTTTGCAATAGTTAATGCTTAAATTAACTCATTTATCTCCAGTGTACCAAGAAATTTTAACACTTATTTTACTCTGGAATTTGTCTACCCTCTTATCCTTTTCATGAATGTACAATATTTTTGGAATTATAAAAGACTCATCACTCACAATATTAAACTAGAAAAGATTTTTTTTTTATAAATAATGAGCTATAGGAGCAACCTTTATCCATAAGATGGCTTTGTACAAAGATTGCACCTTGATGATTTAGTGATCGAAAGTACATGTAATGATGTTGAAAGAAATTATAACCCACCAAAAGGTGTGGTGTTAATGGTAAAGGTTCTTTCACTTTGGTAACCTTTCCGATTCAAGACATGGGAATGGAGTCCTCTTCTGTAGGGAACACTAAAAACCCTCATTGTGGGCTTTGTACTGTGTGAATTCGAATTAGTAGGGCCAGTGTGTTCTGGACACCGGATGCTTGAAGCTAGAAAAGAAGAAATTGTTAGTTCCTACAAAACATAGCTTATGACATTTCTGTGTTTTATACTTCACCCTTGCATGTGAATTGTCAGTTGCAGAAAATGTGTGCTTTAACAAGACCCCGAGGAACCACACTTTTGTGTTTGACTATATGAGTACCATAAAGTCGTTGAGATGGAACATTTTCATATTGTTGTGCTATTGCCCAGGGCGTTTTGGTCTGTTGTTCCGCACCATTTGCATGATGCAAAAACTTCTATTATTATTTTATTTTTATGTGGGAGCTGTGAGGTGGGGGTTGTTTCGTCCTACTCCCAGCTACCTTTTAATTGGTTTTATTATAATTCTTCTAGTTTTAACATGACAGAAAATTATCTTAGGAGCTCTCAGGGTGAGAATTTATGGTTTCAGGTAATTGCTGATAGGGGCAATGATATCATTATTGTTGGCCGTGGAATTATAAAGGCTGCCAACCCCATAGAGGCAGCTCGTGAATACCGGCTTCAAGGGTGGGATGCGTATTTAGTGAACTGCAAGTAAGAGTCATTTGTTTGGCTTGTTTCATTGCGAGCTAGAAGTGTCTTTTACTATTTTTTTTTTCTTTTCATTCAGTTTACCTTTTCTCCCCCTCCAATTTTACCTCCTCTTTATGCATGCCCTTTTACTGCCGCCCAGTTGTGGCACAAGTTTAGTGTTATCACCTAGTAATGAAAGTATGTCAGAACTATATGTGCTCCAAAACACTAATGCTCAACAGCTTTGTTTGCTGTTGTTACTCTGTGTGCTGATGCTCCAAATGAATAATGCCTGACTGCTTTTTGCTAACTCGGAGGATTTGAATAGCTTGATGCCAGGTACTTGAAGAGTTGAAGTACGTTAGCAATTTTTACCTTCGTTTTTTGGTTTCGATTATTGGAAGTGGATTTGGGGGAATATCTTATGTGTCGTATGAACCATCAATTATTGTTCTCGAACTCTTACAGCTCAGTAGAAGCCCATGCCTTCGCCCAAGTGTAGGCATTTTAGTCCTTGCACTAGTTTTTGCTAAATTGACATCAACTATCATATGGACACAGTTTTTCAGGATGAAACAAAAGATGGAACGATTAAATAGACACATTATTTCTTTCTAGTTATTTCCATTAGCTAAAGTCGAGGAGGTACACTCTTCTTTAAAGCAAAGTGTTTTTTACGTATTAGTTGAGTTTCTTTGTTGGTTTCACTAGTTGGCTTGTATTCTTTTATGTTTCCTTTTTTCTCTCATTTTTTGCAAATGCAATACATCCATAAGATACAACTTGTTGATCTGCTTATGTTATTGGAAAGATTGTCTCAACTTATAATCAGGGCAGAGCGAGCCTGCATTGGTCGAACCCAATCACTTTTACTTGGACACTATTTGTATTAGAAAATGTATTAAACATGAATGGTAAAATACCTAGATAGTCCCTTAAACTTGGCACGTTTTGTAAGATAACCTTGTAAAACTTGAGAAGCGACCAGTTACACTTATACTTGACAGATCTGTGTCTTTTATATCAAAGATGCTTTTGAGTGCGTGAGAGTGTTTCTCATTTTATATCTGGAAAACTCCCTAAAATTTTCAGCCAATCTCCTTCCAATCTTCGACGAGTATCTAGCCGGAAAAAATGGCCACTCCGGCTCAAACTAGTAGAGAAAAGAAGCCGTAGGCAGCAAACTCATCCCCCCACTTTCGGTAAGTCACAGGCAATACAATAACATCCTTCGCTGCTTCAATCTGAGAGAGGATATCCCAATGACCTCAACATGAAGGTAATCCAGACCAATGACACAAGTAAATAAAAATACCAGATTTTGAACCCAAAAGTGATTTTCTCAGCGAAAACTTAAAATCAAACCACATAGAAGCTCAAGAAATTGCGACCTCTCAAGCATTGTGCAATTTGTAACAGTAATCGGCACCAACCCAAGAACTATCGCAATTTCTGATCGTAAAGCTCAGAAATACTTGTCGTTTATATACCCAATGAAGAATAGTTCTTATTTTGGCGATGAGCTTGCATCGGAAAAGTTGCTCCGTCTATAAACGATTTGTTTAATGCAAATGTAACTAAGAGAAACAGAGATATGAAGAAGTGGGGACGGACGAAGGGTCTAGTATATGGTCCACGGGTGAAGAAAAGGCATAGGTCTGGGCGGGTTTGTATTTGGTTATTGCATTTATTCTTTTAGTTATACTTGTCAAATTTTTCTCTTTCAAATTCCACGTCTTGTTCATAGTTGGTTGACTTTGCACATCATTCGCAAGTGTGTTTCACGCACTTGCTTTTATGGACACAAGTGTTCACAAAATACACAATGCAAGTATATGTGTGTAACTGGTCACTCTATAAGTTTATAAGGCTATCTAACAAAACTTGTCAAGTTTAAGTGGCTATTTTGAGTATTTAATTGCGAACCCAGTAATAAAAATGATCTGTGACTTCCATGCAAATTTAGAATTCATAAACTTCAAATCTTGTTTTAACTCTGCCTATAATGAGCAAGTAAATGGCCTCGGGCTCTTAATTAAACATCAGAGGAAGTACTTAACGAGCGGTTGATGTTTGAGAAACTTTCAGAAATCACTATGTTTTAGTGGTTATTAGCTAGTTGTAGCTACCATTTACTATATTACTTCCTATAGCTATGTTTTCAGATTTTTTAGAGTGTATTAGATGTATTTAAGCTACTGTATTCATGAATACAGTAGCATTTCTAGGCGTGAAACAAGGTATTACAGCTAGACAGATTTTTGTATTCGAGTGTATTCGACTGTATTCATGGCGTGAAACATGGGATTATAGCTGGACAACTTATTGTATTCGACTGTATTCACGGCGTGAAATAGGGGATTATACTGTTTTAAACGGAAAGTGAATCAATTAACATAATAGACTCTTAATATAACTCAAAAAACTCAATTATAACACACAAATTTTGTATTTCCAGTTATAAAAAAGATTCTCAACCGAAAAACACCCCAAAAATATAGCAATCTTCAGAGAAATTATATAAGAGAAATTATATAATACATCTGAATACATAAATTATATTAGTTAAAAAAAATATATGAATACATTCATGGAATATTGCGAGACAGTTAATACAATGAAATACATCGAATACAACGAGATACATTGAAATACAATTAAAAAAAAAGACAATGAATACAACGAAATACATGAAAATATAGCGAGATACATTGAAATACACTTAAAAAAAGGTAACAGAATCTTCAAGTTGCTCAGCGCCAAACTCCGTTGTCTTTGTTCAAGAACAACCCTAATGTCGTCTCGTCGAGAGGGCCGCGATTCTGACTCGAAACGTCATTGCTCCCGTTACTGTCAATGGCGGACCCAGGATTTTTATCAAGCGGGTTCAAAATGCAAAGAAGCAAATATACAAAGAGGTCAACAAAAACTATATATTAATAATATATATTATTATAACTGTCCTCTCCGAGTTTTCATTTCCTGAATGTATTCATAATAGTCTCATCAGAAATGGTGTTAAATATTTTTCTTTCTACACAAGGTACCAAACAACCGCTCATGAATTCGTCATTCATTCGGTTTTGCAATTCACTCTTGATCAACTTCATCGCCGAGAAAGTTCTTTCAACTGTAGCAGTGGCAACTGGTAGAAGCAAAGCAAATTTCACAAGGCGAAACACAAACGGATAATTCAAATGATTCTTTGTCTTAACTAGTGTTTCAGAAAGATCAACAAGTCTTTGTAGATTTGAGAACCTTTCATCAAAATGACGAACATCAACAATATAAGTTTCAAGTTGATTCTTGAGCGTAACCATTATATTCTCATCAAAATCGCCAGGATACAATTCAACCATATATCTTGTTTATGTCAAAACTGAAAAATGAATCAACTGGATTTAAGCAAGCTACTCCAACAAACAAGTTCGTTGTCACCTTATTAAAACGAGCATTGAGTTCTTGAACTTGCCAATCAATAATCTTAAAAAATATATCAACACGATAGTGATGTAAAATAGTATAATCAGCAACTTTACGTCGAGATCTTCCGGAGTTAACATAGAAGTCATCAAAGTTTGGTATCAAAATATATACTTGACACAAAATGCAGACACCTTATTAATAAGTAAACCCCTTTCTTCTTCTGTTAGCTTTTGCAACCGTTTCTTTGCCACTTCAACAAGTAGAATATCATTTGCAATATCTTGCTCCTTTTTTTGTAAGGATGTATTAAGCTCATTTGTGATCCCCAAAACATCTCTCATTAGGTGCAACATGAAAGCAACCTCAAATGTTTGACAAGTGCTAAGATATCCCTTTGCCTTAGCTCTTTCTTCTAAAGTCCGGGCATCAACAACGATAGTATCAAGAACATCAATAATTGAGCCAAACATAGAAATAAAGTTCTTAAAAGATTTGTAGTGCGAACCCTAGCGAGTATCGGCAGCTCTGGCAAGACAAAGTTCTTGATTCAAACCCCTACCAGTTTCAAGTTTACCCATGTCTAATGCCTTTTGAACTTTTTCTGCTTGAGATTCTCGAAGATCATCCATACATTTGTAAGAACCTTCCACTATATTCAATGCATTAGAAACCAACAATACAAGTTCTCCCATTTCAAGACACTTTTTGGATACCGCAACAAGAGTCAATTGAAGTTGGTGTGCAAAACAATGAATGGAATAAGCGGATTTACTTTCTTGTTGAATCAAAGTTTTGAGGCCACCTAAATCCCCTTGCATGTTGCTTTCTCCATCATAGCATTGTCCACGCACATAAGATAAACTCAAAGAATGTTGAGCAAGGTAATCAACAATTGCTTCCTTTAAACATAAAGCACTAGTATTACGAACATGAACGATCCCAATAAAATGCTCCACCACATATCCACATCTATTAACATATCGCAAGACAATAGTTAATTGCTCTTTGCGTGATACATCACATGATTCATCAACTAGCAATGCAAAAAAGTCTCCAGTTAGATCATCCATGATTTCTTTAACTGTTTCAATTTTACATGCAATGATAATGTCTTTTTGAATTTTATGAGAGGTCAACTGATCATTCTTTGGAGCCTTTTTCAACACAAGATCACGAATTTTATCGCACCTATCTGCATACCATGAAAGAATCTCAAGAAAGTTACCCTTGTTTAATGATGATTCATCTTCACGATATCCACGAAATGCCAATCCTTGATTCAATAGGAGTCTTACAACCTCAATTGAAGCCTTCAAGCGAATTTTGTATTCGAGCTTGGTTTGACTGGATTGCGTATCAAATGAAGTTTGAATTGACTGTTTTTGTTTTAATAGATCTTCACATTTCTTTTTGCATGATTATGAATACTGCTCGACTTACCAACATGCATATCGAATCTCTTCTTTTTTTGCCAATTCTAAAATCCTAAACTTGAAAATACATCGCCTTCACCTTGATGAATGTCTTCATCTTGAAACAAGTAACAATACAAACAATAAGCTGCATCTTGTATCACACTGTACTCCAACCAATTACGATATTCATCAAACCATTTAGGATTGAAACGGCGCTTTAAGCCCGAAAAATCTCTTTGAGGAAACTTATGATGCCGGGGTTGGTAAGAACCTCTTCGGAGATATTCTCTTCTAATCTCATCACGCTCATTTGGATGATAATCTCTAATGGGTATTCTCTCCTTTGGATCAGTCGGTAAAGAATCAAGATCTACTCCTTGTCTTTGTCTTTTAGAAGATTGAGGTTGCTCTTCTAATTGGTTCAAATTTTGTTCCACGGGAGTAGCAATTGGAGAGGATGAACTTGGTTGTGGCAACTTGGAAGATGCTGGAGGGTAAAATCTCTTCATTATAACACAAACTGGATTACCAAATTAGAATTAGAATTAGAAAAATACTTTTGTATATGTTTAACCTTAAATTTAAACTAGAAGAATTAATGTGGTCACTCATCAGATTACAGAACTTTTCGATGAAACTTTCATTCATGGATAATAGCAAAGGTGAAACCTGATAGTGAGAATTTCTTATATCATCACCTTAGACATGCAATAATAGGCAATTCCTAATTTGATAGTCTAATAAAAATGCAATCAATAATCTAATATAATCGGTTAAAATACATTGATGTATAAAAATTCATTGTGTTTAAGTATAATCTGTTTCAACATGTCTTGCTTGAGAAGACTTTTTATACTTTCATTATATTCAAACTGAAAAAGAATTTCTTACTCAAAACCAACAACAACAATCTGAAATTTTCCATAACTAAAGAGAAAAAGTGCTTAACTTCTCAATATAAGCAAATTTATTACTCTCAATTTCTCAGCCAAAACCCATTAAAACAATCTGAATTTTTTCCAAAGCATAAATTACAAAAATCTGCAATATAAGCAAGCGAGAAACCTGATAGTGACAATTGACGGGCTGACGGCGAGAGACGGAGAGAGGCGACCCAACGAGAAGCGGCAGTGGCTTATGGCTAATGGAGGAGACGACTATGAAGCAATGTTCTTTGAAATTGAACTACAACAAAGAGAAGAAAGCACATAGAGGTGAAGGAAATTTATTGGGATTAAATCTTTGTGCAAAAGAGGAATAAATACTACAAATTGGAAAACTAGATTTGGTTCTTATTGATCACCTGAAGTTTTAGTTAGATACCAAGATGAAGCCCTTTGTCTTTGAGGGAGATGACCTTCTCGGCAGGGGCTAACGGAGGAGGCGATTCTCTTTGAAATTGACGAGAGAGAGAGAGAGAGAGAGAGAGAGAGAGAGAGAGAGAGAGAGAGAGAGAGAGAGAGAGAATGAGAGAGAATGAGAGAGAGAGAGGCATCGAGGGCTTGAGATTAGAGATTCTAATCGTTTTCTGATTTGAGGAATTGGGGGATATTTTATAAAAACATAAACGGCGTCGTTTTTATGGGAAAAGAGACCTATATTAAAAAAAATAGAGGCCATATGTGACTAGCTGGTTTCAAACTCAGGACCATGTGGAAATTTGAACCCTCTTTACCAGCAGGCTAGGCGATTTACTTGTTTGAAGCGGGTCAAAATAATCTTTATACCTTTACTTTTTTGAAGACAAAAAAAATATACATATATACACAGTGTTATTTTTCGATGAAGCGGGTTCATATGAACCCTCTTGACTCCATGTGGGTCTGCCCCTAGTTACTATGATACTATTCCGGCAATAGAAAGCAAAGTTATGCGAGAACAAACAAATCGACAGAATTGCAATTTGCAGATCACATCTTTGCAAAGCACATCTAACCTTTATTCAAAACCACCACACAACAACCAAATTGCAGGTTTGCAGAGAATTCCTTAAACCCAAAGCAAAAAACTTTCCCCTGATAACTCATCTGTGTGAAAATAAAATGCACGGAAGACCACGCAAAGCTCCAACAACAGAAGAGCAACAAGCTTCTGCTATCAAAGCTTCCAAATTACGTTCTCTCCAATCCCAATTTCTCCAATTCCATCGGAGATTCGCCGCTGATGATGGTGGTGGCGGAGAAGCTTTCTAGGAAGAAGAACGATCGACGGAGGAACTTATGAGAGAGAATCCATGAGTTTGTATTCATGGTAAAAACTGGCATTGAGAGAGAGGGTGGAGAAAAATGTGAAAGAATGATAGAGAAAAATAATACAAAGCTTATTTTATGGCTTAAGGGTAGGAGGTAACCATAAATAGATATTTGGCTATAAAAAATCAAAAGGTAGCTATGGAATATAATTTTTTAAAAGGGTATTAATTTAAAATAAATAAAGTATCAACCTTTGCTATAGGAGGTAACTAATCCTTTTTCCTAATTCCAAAGCTGAAGCAGTGTATTTTTAATGTCATTAAGAAAGTAGAACAATTAATGGGTAAACAGGTTTTTCTTAGGAAAGATGGACAGAGTTGAGGGACTAACGAAATATTAAAAGGAGGTATGTAATTAATAATAAATTAAACTATTATGACTTGCTTATTAGTGCATATTTATTTATTATTTGACGTTTGATTGTCATATATTCAAAAGAGTGGCCAACAGTAGGGGGAGGGAAACTATAACTATTTTCTTTTGTACGCAAAAGAAGTCAAAACTTTTAAACAAAATAATATTTTTCCAGAGACCAAAATAATATTGTTGAGCTTATTAGAGTCTATTGATATTTAACACCTATTCCGCTCTAATCTTTATCAAATCTAAAAAGAGATCAAGACTACTCTACCACCCTCTCCTTCTACAAATCTCCAGTTTCCTCTTCTTTTCAATCAAAAAGATCTTCACCCAATTCACACCTAACTAGCTTTAGGGTACACGGTTTGCGCGTGTACTTGGTTCAATGAATGCTAAATTTAGAAGATTTATAAATATTACTTCCTCTATTTTAATTTGCATAATATATTTTTCTTATTAAAATAAGATAGACAGATAATAGATCCGTGTACATTTTTGCTGTTGTGGACAATACATAGTAGTTAATATTAAAAAAAGATCTAATGTTATTTGTTTTTAGTTGTTTTATATTAAAAAAAAATATAGTTTTCGATTGGCAACTTTAAAAAATTTTGATACATGGTTTTAACTTTGTGAGTTATTTCCATTTTAAATAATTTTAATACATGATTTTAACTTTGTGAGTTATAATTTTCTTTTCTATTTTTTTTCTTTTATGTCAAATATCAATAAAATTTACTGTCTTCAGCTTTTAGAAAATAGAATTCCACCAAACAGAACTTAGTTAATTTTGCTAGTAAATTCATGAGTTTATTGATTGGTGCAACTTCAGTACTAACATCTGTAACGGTAATCATTTCATTTACCAATTGATGTGATTTCTGATATTGATCAATTATTTGTTTGATTGGAGTACGTTCTTGTTGTTATAATAAATGTTTCATATAACTAATAAGATCACTATTTTTTACCTATTTAAATGCTCTTGATTACTAATAAATATTTCCTCTGTCTCAAACTATTTGTCGTATTTCTCTATTACAAACACCTAAAGAAAATATTACTTCAAAGGAATTTTTGACTATTTAACCCTTATTATGTCATAATATAATATCTCTTCATTGAATATTTACTTTATTTATGTGCCATCTCCATCTTCAAGAACAATTACTACTAAAAATATAACAAAAAAAAATAATTTGAAACAATTACTTCTAAAATAACAAATAATTTGAAACATCTATTTTTTGAATTACGATAAATAACTTGAGATTGAGGGAGTAGAGATTAATTTCCTTATATTAATTATATATATATTGGCTTATTTTAACTCTAATTCTCATCTAGCTTGACTTTTAGAATATCAATAGTACTTAGAAAATAAAAAGAAAGAATTAATAATAGTAGTTCTTTTCTTCAAATTAAAAAGTAGTAATAGTTCGTCATTTTTTGCCTTTAATGTCTTGAATCCCAATTTAATTGTCACGACCCGGATTCCCCGCCCTCGGGGGTCATGATGACGCCTACTCGTGGAAGCTAGGCAAGCCAAGAACCTTAGCAAACATTAACCATATTTCGTTTTATACATGATTAAAAAACTAAATTATCATTGAATAAGCAGTTAAAAGATAATGAGAAGTAAAATTTAGCGGAAGTCTGAACTAAATATAGAAACAACGTCTAGAAGCCAATACAAGTCTCTACCCAGTACCTGGTGTCACAACAATACACGGACTGTCTAGGATTACTACAAATAAGGGTTTGAATTAAAGGGCATAGTCTGTCTTGAATACAAATGTCAACAGAACATGAAAACTGAAAGAAGAGACGCCGGGCCTGCGGACGCCAGCAAGGCTACCTCGGAGTCTCGTGGACTGAAGGTCGGCTCCCTAACTACTGCTGCGCACCGTAAGCTGCTCCAACACCTGGATCTGTGCAAAAGAGCACAGAGTGTAGCATCAGCACAACCGACCCCATGTGCTGGTAAGTGCCTAGCCTAACCCCGGCGAAGTAGTGACGAGGCTAGACCGGACTACCACATAAACCTGTGCAATTATATATAGACACATATAGCGGAATCAAAATACGGAGACAAGTAATTAATATGGGAGGGGGAGCATGCTATGGGGAAAATAACAATTTCAAGTAAAAGTCGTCCAGTAACGAAGGAAACAACACAACTCGGACATTAATAAAGAAACAGAAAGCAACAAGTGCACAGCATCACCCTTCGTGCTTTTACTCTCATCCTCACCAAGCAATGACATAATAAAGTGTGCAAGGCATCACCCTTCGTGCTTTTACTCTCTTTCCTCACATATAATCAATAGAATCGGCACGGAATGGTACATCGTGCGGCACGACATCACCCTTCGTGCTTTACTCTCTTTCCTCACCATAAGCGAGCAATGCACGGCATCACCCTTCATACTTTACACTCTTTCCTCACCATAAGCAAACAATGCACGGCATCACCCTTCGTGCTTTACACTCTTTCCTCACAACAAACAAATAATGCACGGCATCACCCTTCGTGCTTTAGACTCTTCCTCACCCAAACAACAATCACAAACAAGGGGCAAGGGGATAAACAAAATAATAAAAGAAGTCCCGGCAAGGGGACACAATTGAATAATTAAATCCCGGCAAGGGTACAACATCTATAATCTCAACATCCCGGCAAGGGAAAAACAATCAATAAACAGCAATATCCCGGCAAGGGAACAACTAAAGTCCTCTTTCTCTTCCTTTCACTTTCATTTCATATCTCACTTTACCACTTAAGCCAATGCTCCAAAGGGGTTCAACCATTTCGTATACGTTCACAATTGAAATATAACTTGAGCCAATACTCCTCGTTGTTTATATATAACAATTCCTTTTCACAAGCTCTTCAC